GGTACAGTATCATAGTCTACCTAGTGTGATAGTGTACCTAGTGCGGTACAGTATAATAGTCTACCTAGTGTGATAGTGTACCTAGTGCGGTACAGTATCATAGTCTACCTAGTGCGATACTGTACCTAGTGCGGTACAGTATCATAGTCTACCTAGTGCGATACTGTACCTAGTGCGGTACAGTATCATAGTGTACCTAGTGCGATAGTGTACCGTGTGCGGTACAGTATCATAGTCTACCTAAAGTTCGACATACACCTATTCTCATAATGTACTCAAAAACATTGCTGATTCTATGGATTTTTAWATGTTTTTCTTAGGGTTTCAGGTTATGAGACAACATTGTTTGGCTACAAATCAAGACTTCAGCCTTTAATTAAAAGTGTAGCAAAGAACAGTGAAGAGTATTTTGAAATTGTTTCATTTGGTAAGCGCTACTAAATGCCTTGAAACTATCATACAAAGGAAAGAAGAATTGTTGTTTGTTTTTGTTCAGGGCATTTGATGTATGAAATGGCTGCTGGAACGGAACTCAAGTCATCTAATYCTAATGAGGAAGATTTGAAAAAATGTCGTTCAGAACATGTTGCTGAGGTAAACAATTCTCTCCTTTCACCTCCCTCTTCCTGATTTTTTCTGTTTATCCTATTTCTATTTATTGCTCATTTATGACTTTCTTCTTAGGTGATCAGATATATTTTTGCTAATGAGAAGGAATCATTTCCATATTTAGAAGAGGTAAAGTACATCAAATGTTTTGTTTCTAAAGTTATCATTATAATTTACATGAATTACACGCTTTAATCTACATTTATCACGAGAATCAGGGCACTGTTCATTTAAACCAGTTGCAGTGAAGTGAAAGTTCTCAAAACTGCTTAATCCGTGGAACAAAACCATTCCCCTCCCCTCCCCTTAAGATTGGCGTCATCATTTCGGTAGTACAACATACAGTGTTGATTATGCAACTGTTTTGTGCAGATTGACCCGTCCATTGACCCGTCCATTGACCCGTCCATATTGCAAAGGCAATTCCATGCTGGTTGCAGTTTATTGTGGTACACCTACCTTTCATACTTCAGATTATTCATTATAGCACTGTGCATCGTTTCAGATAGCATGCCATTCCTTCTTTAAGAACGCGGATGTTAGTGAACTGAATCAGATTAAGAGAAATAAGGTATTTTTTACCGTCTGGACTTTATCAAATATATACCATATGACATTAATTGTGTATTGCCGTTTCCTTTTAGACAAAATTGACTTCAAACATAAAATCCTTACTCAAACTTTATCGAAAAGAAAATGACAGCACGCAAAGGTATACGTATATATCAAATTCGTGAAACATCCCAAAYATTAATTCTCATTTTAAAGGATTTTTTTCTCAAAGACGTCGTCGCAAGAGCGAAAGGAAAAAGTCTCGAGGGGAGAGTGAAAGCGAAGTCAAAARGGAACGGACGAAATCAAGGTAAAACCKTATTTAATATTAGGAAGCCATTTGAATGCAGGGAAGCCATTTGACAGGCTTAATGTACGTTCAAAGAAGCCTTTCAAATGTAATGATCTTATGGCGTAAGGAAACCCTAAAAATGCACATAGATGGAAACCATTGAGATGTTTACGACAAATTAATCAAAAAGCAAACACTAAACCCATCTAAARCAACATCTAGTTGACAGAAGCCATTCAAATGTATCAATCTAGCTGGATTCAAGTTGAATTTCATTTTAAGTCATCCACCGAATGAAGAAATACCATTGATTTGTATCTATTATTAACCTGTGGCGGAAGCAATTCAAACGTGTAGATTAAATAGGGAACTYCACTAATTGAACTTTAAGTTCATATAGACAACTATTTAAGTGCATCTTTTTAGAGGAAAAGCATTTGAGTGCATCCTTTTAAAAGCAAAACCATTTGGGTACATCCATGTGACGGCAATCATTTGAGTACATCTATTTTATTGGCAACCATTTGAAAGCAACTATTTTTTAGGGAATCCATWGCAACCATTCAAKCATAGAAATTCTCGTTGTTTTTATCAGGTCAAAATCAAAGAAAAGTTCAGTTGATGTTCCAGAACCTCTCGTGGTTTTCAGTCCAACACCAGCCCCGCCCGTCCCCCCACCGCCAGTCTTTGGAGCTCCACCACCCCCGCCCCCACCCCAGAATCTTTCAAAGGCATCCCGCCCTGAAGTGGGCTTTGAAAGGCCGTCTGCATCGGCTGGTCGATCTTCGTTGTTGGCTGCAATTCGTAAAGGAAAAAGTCTTAAAAAGACAAAGGCTGTCAASGACAGGAGCGCCCCTAAGATCAGTTGAAACTGCAATCTCTTTAAACAGCAGCCATCTCATGGCATCATGCTTGGTTTAAAATTTTTCTTACAGGGTATTGACAATTGACAATAAGTCCAACTAATGATCTTTGCAATGCTTATAATTAATTATAATAGTATACATGCCGGATTCTYGTGCAAAGAAAAGCAAATCATTTAGTTGGTTAATAACTTGGTTCGCGATACCGCGATATATTTTTTCCAAGATGTTTTTATGAATGTGTTTCTAAAACCCTAAAATTTGTAGATTTTGATGATTTATCACATTGRAGGACATCTCATGGACGTTGTCAAAATAAACATATAAATAAACAAATAACTGTATTAACAAAGAACCAAGAACGCTTACAAAAACACATCGCATGGGTATCCCATCCAACACTCCGGGCTCAGCTTTTTTTCTTTTTTAAATTTATTGCTCGGTTTCAAATTTTAAATTATTATATTTTCCACATTCAAAAGTCATAATTTAACGTTTTAAGAGACACTTTTGGCTTAGACAATATAATGTCCTTCTATATTCCGTTTTCTGTAGATGTATTCATGATAATTAATTGGTTTTAATAGAATATCATCAATTGTCGTGGCAACGTTGCCTTGTCGCCTGTATGAAAAATATTTTGAAAGAAATAGAAATAAATTCACCSTCTCAAAAATAAAATCCCGATTCAAGCAATTAAAAGGCTCAAAAATGTCAATATGTATACAAAATATACCCTTATCAGCTTTAGGTRTATTTAAATAGGATCACAAAAGAGTTTTTGATGTGAAATATGACTTTATTTAAGTCCATTCAAATCAGACCCAGTGATAACAGACGCCATTCTGGTGTTGTGTTACAACTATATGTTCAGTAATTACAAAGATTTTCTCATTTGGTGTCTAGAAGTAATGAGCAAATAGATTCAACATTGAGATTTGAATAGATTGTCATAATAGATTAGAAGCCATCTAAAATTGGAGGACCTACGACATCTGCCATCTCAGTTCTACTAAGATAAAATAACGCTGAAGACTTTAGTTTTGACACAAAACGCCAAGTCAAGACGGACAGGGAAAAACGAAGAGGCAATGTAACAACGCATAACCCAAGATGGCAACTTTCAACAAATGGTATTCCCAAGCTGGTATAATTCTATTGATTCTGTACTATCTCGACGCTCGGGATTTGAGTTCAATGACGAACAGTTCAAAGGAAAATATCACAGAAAATGGGATGAAATACCACATGAAAGAAATAAGATGGAAGAGAGAGAACATGATGAATAATTCAATACCGACATCTCGAGAGAGAACAAATTGCATGAGAAATGGTGGTGTTTGTAATACTTACCATGGTAGCTGGTCGTCTTTTTACCTCAAGGTACGGTCAACTATAATATCTGTGATAGAACAGTATGGACTTTACCAATAAACAACCAGGTTATCGCGATAGGACCTGCGATTATTAATCTCATAAATGTGTTAGTTCTTGAATAATGATTTTTAGGATTAAGTCTTTTATATTGTGTTTTGTCGTGTTATTTTCCACTATAGTYTTCGTTGAATATCAATTTTCGGCTTTGGGTTTTCAGCATCGTTTCTGTATCGCGTTCTTGACACTATTCGTTTAATTGATTAACTGAAGTATTGCGAAATGGTCGTTTTTRATTTCAAAATGCCTTTCTCGATGTTTTTACATGTTATTCAATGTTATTATCGTATGTACATTCTCACATATAAATAAATCATATCGACTTGTTTGATGTAGATTCAACGGTATGTTTTGTAGATTATTTTGCTGTAGTGCTAATTTGAATTGGTAGAAAATATCAATATCGGTTCACCTTTGCCAAATCGCACCTGTCTATAGACCTATTAACATCGGATGCTTTTGTCTTTCGGCAACGTTCACCATGAAGGCGAATATGACCATACTAATGAAATATAACATGCTGGCAAACCATAGTAATGAATACGGGCAGTTTGAAATTATGAAAATAARAAATAACGAGGAAAATATTCTTACTAGAAGTGTATAGTGAAAAAAGAAACGGCCTAGAAACAACGAAAACAGCAACGACACAGGTGTACGGATTAACTAAAACAAACAAATCTCGAACAAATCAAAGTAACATCGTAATGAACTAATTTATAAACAAAATGTAAAAATCAAAGATAATAAATATATAATAACAAAGAAAACAATGGAATTACTAAGASTACAGTAAGGCAACCCAATAGGCCCAAGCCATGCATGGAAGCGTAGGCGTTAGAGAMAACCTRTRAAATASATGATGGCTCTTGTTAYCCTGTGRTCTRGTTGATTKGATGTCTATTGGACTATGGACTACTCATCRCAGTTCATCTCAACGTYCAGATTTTATTTTCCTATTTCACGGGTTTAGAGTAGTTTTCGTTCAAGGGTTTAGACCATGAACAGTCAAAGTGAAGCTAGAATAAAGTGTAACAAGACGAGAAAAAAGGTGGAAAATTAAGAGTTATAAAGTCAATGGTACACTAAAGTGAATTTCACAGGTTTTAAAAAACTATACTTTTACAATAGAAATGCGCACTGACAATCAGTTTCCCATCATGCYTTGCAGTAGGTTTCCCATGCAAAGCATGATGGGAAACTCATCGTCTATATTTGGACTTTCACTCTAACCATCTAACTAGCTCGCCAATTAACAATATAACCAACTATTTCTTTTCACTATTTCCAGTAAGTGATCTAACTTAAATATTGTTTATCGTTTTAATAGATTGGTGGGTGGTTAATGCTAGGCATCGTRTTAGTTGGTATATCCTGTCTAGTGATYACWCACTACCTTGGTATGAAGAAAGCCAACAAAGACAGACGAAAAAAACGATTCACAAAAGTTTCATGGACAGACGCAAAAACCAAATCTAAACTGGCTAAATGGATGGGGTAGTTTAKTGATGATTCAGTGCCGTGGAATAAAACACTATCAAATACCGACATAACAAACGATAACTTGGAAAGACTGTCTTGGAAAGACACTATAGTCTCCTTCACGGTTATGTGCGCCATCTTGAAAAGTAGCCGTGCCTTTACATCGAAGCGAGACAACCGTTGAGCGTGCAATGATAGATACCTGTGTGGGTGGATAATTACCTGTAGTTGTGAAAGAAGGTTTTTATCACTGCACGCTCAACGGTCATCTCGCTTCGATGCAAAGGCACAGCTACCTTTCAAGATGGCGCAGGGAACTGTGAAGAAGACTATTGAGAAGCTACATTAAAACTGGCTTAACTGATATCACTTCTCACATGTCTTATCAAAGAACAACAATTATTGTAAGCGTTGCATTGAAAACATACAAAAACGAGGCCTGGAGACTTCAGTTCCAGAACAGGAAACTTTGAAATGATCCGTGTCATGCGGTGATTTGCGGCTTCAAAATGCTTCCGAATCGCGGAAAAAAAGACATCACTTGGGAGATATTCGTTTACTGTTATTTTAAGACTATAATCTTGACTTTGGCTTGAAACTGATAAGAGTTTTTCAAGTTTAGAATACTAAATATTAAGTTAAGCTTTTCTGACAACGCTTCTCAATCCTTGCAAAATATATTTAGAAAAAAAAAGTTACAATAACACAAAACAAAAGAAAATAAATCAGTAAATTAAATATAAAATCGTATTACAACTGATATCGAGCTGAGCTTATTCGTCTGTTCTWTAGACA